TGCATGCTGTAAATTTTGCGATTTTTACCTATGCCATGTTAACCTTTGGCCTTCTGAATTGAGACCATTCCAGATAGGTGGATATTACTGACTTCTTGCAGTTGTCTGTCTCATGTGCAACAATATGCAGTTAAGAGTTTGTGACTTTATCCTGACTTTCCTGATCTGCATACTTGATCTAGTTCATAGCCAGGCAGCTAGCATTTGCAGGAGGTTGCTCTGAGTGATAATCTCCGTATTTCGTTTAGAAAAGCTTTACTTTCAAATTTTCTTGCGTGTCGAGCATGTTCAAGGACTACTTGGTTGAACAATGCTCCCTTATATTTTATCCTTGTGTATGGCACTGTGTGTTCTAGGTTTGCATTGCTGTTACTTTTTTCTGTTTTAGCTTTTTTGTGTTGTCTTTCTAAATAGAAGACAAATAGAAAACATAAGTTTGTGAATGGCTTTTTAGTTGTAGGATAGTGTCATTGGTTTATTAAATAAATAAATACAATTTAAAAACGGAACCTATTTGAACAAAAAGTTACATTCAGATTTATGTAAAAAATCTAGCATTTTTATTATTCTGCAAGCTTGCATATAAAAGATTTATTTTGACCTATTATTGTTTTTATCTCAGCATGACTTTGAGCAAAGAATCAAAGGGGAAGAGGCCTCTTGAGGTCTGACAGTTCCCCCTTTTCCGTTTTCCTAAAGTAATGCTGAGAACACACATTAGGGGAATTAACAAAGATTGGAACATCCAGAATCTGGAGCCATTGTGCATGGCAACTAATCCGCTTCCAGCTTTCCTTTCACAGCTTAAAGTGGTTATAAATACATAAATTTCTTTTACCTTGATGTATTCCCTGGTAAGTTAAAACATTTCTCAGTAGCAGTATTGTCCCCCCCCTTCAAGTACTTACCTGAGACCTCACTTAATTCAGCACTGTGCCTGTCTGTAGCAGCTCTCTCATTCATTCACAGGATAGAGAGGTGGCAGAGGGAACCATTGGCTCCTGCTGATGTCAATACAATCTGTAGAGCAGGAATGGGACGGAGCTGTGCTGTATGTGTCTGTGGATGCATACAGCCTGTCTCGGGAGCAAGCCCGCATGTCTGCCCCCATAGCAAACGGCTTGCTATGTTGGCAGGCACAGAATTGGAGGAGCCAAGTTCACCAGCAGAGGACCCCAGAAGACGTTTGGGGCTGCTCTTTGCAATACCTTTTCAACCAGGGTGCCTTCTAGGATCCACAAATTACCACAAATTGCACAATTGTCAGCATGCTAGCAAGTAGATAAAGAATGTCTTTTTTTTTATTCCGCTAAACCACAGGTTTTATTGCAGCATTACAACCTTATGCACCATGTTGGCAAGCTACTGGCATCCTAACAACCAATGAGCTCCTTGGTTGATAAGGAGGGCATATGGTGCCTGCACAGCCTTTCTATTTGTGCTCCCTTGCCCCTTTCTCTGAGCACTTGGGTCACATTAACAGAGAGCGGGAGAGAAACGGAGGGAGAAGAGAGATGCTAGAATACTACTCAGTACTAGATTGTAAAGGCAGAGTAACAGATCATCTGCCATGTTGCGTGGCTTGTGTGTGGATTCTGCTGCGACATGTAAAACTAAGTTTAGTTTTTTTAGAATGTGGGCCTTAAAGGGTGTCTTTACTGAAAAAGGTTGAGAAACACTGTTATAAATAAGTAGTAAAAGTGCCTTAAGGTGAACACTCATTCATCCCTGGAGCTATAGACATTGTGGAGAAATTAAAGAATATGCAAACCCAACCTTTGATATTCCTGATATGTGCTTGCTGTACCATATACTTGCGTGAAAAAGTATCCTGTTCTCTTTGTATTGCTTCCTTTGTGTGAAGTTCCTTGTTCCCCTGCTAACCCCACTGTTTTCTTTAAAAAAAAAAAAAAAAAAACTGACCACACTAAGCAAGAGAGCACAGCGTGGTCACTTTTCTGGCTGTGCTTGAACTCATTCTGCTGTCTTCCTCCAATGGTCAGACATTTGCTGATACACCCCCCTCCCCCACACAGCCATTCACTGGGAAGTTCAGCGTACTGCTGTTTTCCTTGAGTTCCTTATGCAGCTGAGAACAGAGGGTATGTGATCACTTATAAAAAAGGGAGGAAAAAAAAGTATTTATAATGTTTTTATATCTATACACAAATGTTTTACCTTTCATTTCTATTTTAAACTGTATGGGTTGTTTTACAAAGTGAAGGTTTACATATACTGCAATCTTTACAGTGTTTGGCTGCGTGCCAGCCCTTTAGGGCTCATTCACACAAATTTCAATGGCTTTTAAGCAGTGTTTTTTAAAGCCTCGTTAACTGCCCTTCAATGCCTGCCATGTATATTACAATAAGTGCCATACATTGCAGTACACATAAGTGCATTAGCCTTGTGTTGTGTAAAAAAAAAAAAAATATTAAGCAGCATCCATATTGCTTTCAGGAGGCATCGCTGCTTATCCATCTGTTCCATTTATTTCAGTGGCAGTGCTGTAACCACACCTATAGCATTTACAGTGCATTAGCGAAGGATTTGTAAAGCGTTAGGGGCGTGCTAGTGGATAGACAGCAAAGGTTCTTGTATCCCAGAGTGCACAGGGAAATATTAGAGAACTAAGAGCAGCTCCAACCACTTCTGTTCATACAGAGCAGCAGAATAAATCCCCCCAAAAAAAGGCATTTGTACAGCCATGGCCAAAAATTTTGATAGTGATGACACAAATTGTAACTTTCACTAAGTCTGCTGCCTCAGTTTTTATGATGGCAATTTTGCATATACTCCAAAATGTTATGAAGAATGCTCAGATGAATTGCAATTCATTAAAAAAAAACATTTCCACTGCATTTCAGCCCTGCCACAAAAGGACCAGCTGACATCAGTGATTCTCTCATTTACACAGTTGTCACTGTTGACAAGGGCAAGGTGGGAGATCACTCTGTCATGCTGATAGAATAACAGACTGGAAGTTTTTAAAGAAGGGTGAGCTTGAAATAATTGTTTTTCCTCTGTTAACCATGGTTACCTGCAAGGAAACATACGCAGTCATCATTGCTTTGCACAAAAAGGGATTCACAGGCAAGGACATTGCTGCTACTGATATTGCACCTAAATCAACCATTGATCGGATCATCAAGAACTTCAAGGAAAGCGGTTCAATTGTCGTGAAGAAGGCTTCAGGGTGCCCTTGAAAGTACAGCAAGTGCCAGGATTGTCTCCTAAAGTTGGTTCAGCTGTGGAATCTGGATACCACCAGTGCAGAGCTTGCTCAGGAATGGCAGCAGGCAGGTGTGAGTGCATCTGCATGCACAGTGAGGCGAAGACTTTTGGAGGATGGCCTGGTGTCAAGAAGGGCAGCAAAGAAGTCACTTCTCCCCGGGAAAAACATCAGGGACAGACTAATATTCTGCAAAAGGTACGGGGATTGGACTGCTGTAAAGTAATTTCCTCTGTTGAATTCCCTTTCCAATTGTTTGGGGCAGCCAAAAAAACCTTGTCCAGAGAAGAAAAGGTGAGCGCTACCATCAGTCCTGTGTCATGCCAACAGTAAAGCATCCCGAGACCATTCATGTGTGGTGTTGCTTCTCATCCAAGGGAGGTGGCTCACTCACAAGTTTGCCTAAGAACACAGCCATGAATGGTACAAAAACATCTCTCAAGAGCTACTTCTCCCAATCGTTCAAGAACAGTTTGGTGACGAACAATGTCTTTTCCATGATTGAGTACCTTGCCATAAGGCAAAAGTAAAAACTAAGTGGCTTGGGGAACAAAACATCAACATTCTGGTACCATGACCTTAATCCCGTTGGGAACTTGTGGTCAATCCTTAAGAGGCGGGTGAGCAAAAATCCCCCCTCCCCCCACAAAGTTTGACAAACTCCAAGCATTGATTATGCAAGAATGCCATCAGTCAGAACGTGGCCCAGAAGTTGATTGACAGCATGCCAGGGCAAATTGCAGAGGTCTTGAAAAAGAAGGGTCAACACTGCAAATATTGACTTTTTGCATAAACGTAATGTAATTGTCAGTAGAAGCCTTTGACACCTATGAAATGCTTGTAAATATACTTCAGTATACCATAGTAATATCTGACAAAAAGATCTAAAAGCACTGAAACAACTCACTTTGTGAAAATTAATATGTCATTCTCAAAGCTTTTGGCCACGGCTGCACTGTTCTGGAATTTTATGGGACTCAGGAAATGAAATAAGCAATCAGTACATCAGGATTGATCAGTTTTCAAATATATAAACCATAGTTTGTAGATGCTAATACATTTTCTCCTAAATTTATATAAAAAAATTTGGTTTTATTGGATTTGTTTTATAGCAGAAAGAAAAAAAAATTTTTTTTTCACTAAATTTTCTGTCTCTTTTCATTATGTAGCAAAAATAATAAACCCAGTGGTGATCAAATTCTACCAAAAAGCTCCAATTTGTGTGAAAAAAAAAATTACATAAATTTCATTTGCATACAGTGTTTCATGATCACACAATTGCCACTTAAAGTAGAGCAGTGCTGAATAGCAAAAACATTCCTGGTCATAAAAGGGGTTAAAACCTTCTGGAGGTCAAGTGGTTAAGTGCTTGTTAAGATTATGTATTCTGGGATGGGCGCAGGTGCACTTTAAGCTGAAACTTATTTCTCACCTCCCTAACATTATTATTATTATTATTATTATTATACAGTATTTATAAAGTGCCAATAGTTCACTCAGCGCTGTACATTACAAAGGGGGACAGAACATGTGACAGAACAACAACAATACAATGCAAAACATGAGGGGATCGAGGGCCCTGCTCTTTCGAGCTTACAATCTAGGAGACATAATTTGATAAAGTACTGTAAATTGTAGATATACAATCTTTACAAAATATTTAATCTTTTATGTTTCTCAACAGCAACAAGGATTTGGAAGACCAAGTGTGTATCATGCTGTGGTGGTCATCTTTCTTGAATTTTTTGCCTGGGGCCTCTTGACCACACCAATGCTAGTTGTGAGTATAATGATTTATAATTTTTATTTTTCTCATGCTGTGTTTAAATGGCTAAATTGCTGCAGGTATGAAGTGCAGACCTCCAAATCTTCCTGTCACTGCCAAATCTCAGGTTGTTCTGACAGGTAAAACCTGGTTCTGTATGGGGCACAGTTTAAAATTCTGCATGTGAAATAAGGCCTAAACTAGGAAGCACTCAGCTCTGAGCACTTCTGGGTTCAGAGCTGTCAAACCCTGGTCACTCTGGCTGGGGAAGAAGCTGACCAAGCACAGTCTGTGCTTGATCAGCTTCAGGAAAGTGCAAAGGTTACATTAGGGGTCCCCTGATGTCTCCTTAAAGAGAACCTGTTACCTACACTGTTATCATATAAGAGACTTATCAGCCCCCTTGTGATAGCAATAAGGATAAGTTTTAAATAAATAAATATATATATACACACACATTTTTTTTATATTAAATTAAAAAAACAAGGCTCCCCTGTCTCTATGCATGAATGCAAACAAGGGTGCTGGATGGACATTCCTATAAAAATGACTGCACAACACATATTGGGTATTGATATACATTTCGGAGTGAGAGAAATAATTCCAGGGCCATCATTCTCTGTTACCTCTACTTGCTGTTACCTGTAAATTCATGAGCTGTAAAAGGTTTAAAATGTCGCCTATAGATAGTTTTGGTTACCATATTTTTTTTTGTTTCACAGCGCAAGCAAGTTTAATTCTTGACATTTTGGTTTTATTTACTTGATGCAACCTCATCTTTATATTATTCTAAATATTTGGGTGTTATATTGTGTTTTGTCTAAAATTAGAATATACAGGGACTAGACAAAAATGAAAACCCTTCATGATTTGCGGGTGTGAAAGTGACAGCATATTTTACTTTGAAAGTGGAAGTGAAGTAACATTCTTTTGCTTCCACTGTGTGATGAGACATCTAGCTAACAGGCGGGAAGCCGCACTTTCGTCATTCACTGCGTGCACTGCTAGTAATACAGAGTAACGTCGGACCTTACTGCGCTTCAGAAAGGGCAAATTGTTGGTGCCCGCTTACCTGGTACCTTTGTGACTGAAGTTGCCAATTTTTTTGCGCTATCGCAAGTACAGTATCAAATGTTATGACGGCATATACAGTTCCCGAAAAAAAATGTCTTCATGGGACTGAGATTGAGCTCTGGAGTCACTTTTGCAGCAGTTGTAGTTGGAAAGAGGTAAGAAGCAGTGTTCAGTAGGAAGGTGTGAGGTCTCTCATTGGTGGCATGTATACTGTCGAGTCAGCTGTGAGTGCTGGAATGTAGAATTAACTGGTGATATGGATAGCATGCAGAAAGCAGTATGTACTATAGTGCAGATCTTAGGGGTGATGTGGATACTGGGGAGTAAGCTGTGTGTATTGGACTGCAGATCTCAGTGGTGACTTGGATGCTGGTAAGTGTTATCTAACTTGCTTTCTGTATCCTTTACAGAAAAGACAAAGAAATAGAAATGGCTGCTATGCACATGAAACCCAGCAAGTCTTTTATGCTGTTCCTGATTTTTAGCCTCAAGGCTTTACTACAAATTTTGACAATAAGACTTCCCATGTCAAAATCTGCACTGTGTCTGGAACCATCATGTTCTACACCAAGAAAAGGTTGTCAAGTTCTCCACTAGTAGATCAATAAGAGCCCACCAAATACCACATCCATATACTGATTTCAGATTGAACCCTAATTTTCATTTAGACTTTACAGGTACCTGTGAAGTCCATATGTAAATTGGCTTTACGTTTAAGTTCTCCACTAGAATGGGAATGTATAAGCATTTATATCATGTACAGCTTTTGTCAGTAAAATGGCAAATTTAATGAATGTGCTACCCCTCAACACTGTAGGCCTGGTCCTGAAGCCTGTAAAGTTACATTAAACGTGTATTGCACTTTATTGGAAACCTGTGCTGAAAAAAAACATAGGAGCTGTCACTGTTGAAATGCTATTTCTGGTTTCACTATTGAAAAAGATATTGACTTTGAGCAGGCATACAGGATGGGATTATGACTTTTAAGACTTTACTAGCCACATATTTTTTAAATCATGACCAAAATTGCTGCTTTCTAAGATTTTACCTCAAAAATACATATCCGCATCAATTTTTTTACAGGCAGTTGCTGGGTTACGAACAAGATATGTTCTGTAGGGTTTTTTTTGCTTAAGTTGAATTTGTATGTTATTTGAAGCGGGTACATTTTTTTAAGTTTAACTCCAGCCAAAAAGTTATTTTAATGTTTTGGATAGCATAGGTAAGGGTTAACTGGCCATTCAATGATGTAGGATTGCTGAGAGGTCCACCGGACAGTAGGTGGCAGCATGCGGTAGCACGCTGCCTCGGTTCTTAACTTCTTCCCGCCCGGCCTATTGTACAATGACAGCCGAGCAGGAACCCTATTATCCTGGGAGGACTTCATTTGACGTCCTCACAGGGTCGCGCCTTGTGGGCCACGCTCCAGCGCTGTCTGTCACCGGCTGTGTCCACGGCCCATGACAGATCACTACACTGGCCCGCTGCCAGTGTCCTGTGATTGCTGTGACCAATCACCGCAGATCACATGAGAGTTGTAAGCAATGAATGGCTTTCTTTCATGCCATTCACTACTTACAACTGTGCTGTGAGCTGTGATTTGGTCACAGTGAACACATATACAGACTGGGCCAATCACAGCTCATCTGTAGCATGTGATCAGCTATGGCTGATCACAGCAAAAACTACTGAATGAATCTGTTTCATTCTGTAAAAATGCTTGCTTATACCAATGTAATTTGTTGATGTAAGCCAGTGGTCTCCTAGCTGCAGCCCTTTGCTTGCCTTTATCCGACCCTTGAGACACTATTTCATTCACCAACACCAACAATGGTGCATAGTTCCTGCCAATGACACCGACAATGGGGCATAGTTCCTTCCAATGACACAAACAATGGGGCCCAATGACATTAATGATGGAGCACAATTCCTACCAATGACACCAGTGATGGTGCACAATTCCTCTCAATGATACCAATGATGGGGCACACTTCCTCCCAGTCACACCAATGATACAACACTATTTCTACTGATGACGGGGCACTATTCCTACCAATGATGGGGCACAATTCCTCCCAATGACACCAAGGATGGGGCATTTACTTCAACTGATGCTGAGACATTTTCTATTCCCAGTGGCCACATTGTGTCCCATATAAAGTCTGAAGGACAGTAAACTGGCCCTTTGTTTAAAAAGTTTGGAGACCCCTGGTATAAGCAATCATAATGTGTTTAAAAAAATTAATACTGATCACTTGCCCAGAGTAGTACACAGTTACTATGGTAACACTGTATTGCTCTGGACATAGGAGTATATATATTTTTACATACTGTCCCCAGTCATAAGATGACACTGTACTGCATTGGTGACAGCATGTAAAAAATAATTGTAGAAATTTTTTTTCATTTTCCAAAAAATTATGACAAAAAATGACAACTTCAAAAATATTTGCCATGCCTCTTACTAAACACATCAGACTGTCTGATTCCTGAAAAGCGGTCATTTTGGGGGTATTTGTTCTTTTCTGGAGTTTTTGAGCCTCAAGAAATGAGATCAGCCATCAGTACATCAGGATTTATCAATTTTCGTTTATAGAACAAAAAAAAAAACCCAGTGGTAAAGACCACCAAAAGAAATCTCTATTTGTGTGAAATTTTTTTTAAAAATTTCATATGGGTACAGTGTTGCATGACTGCGCAGTTGTCATTTAAAATGCAACAGCGCTGAACGGTGAAAATTTGGCCTGGGCAGGAAGGGGGTAAAAATGCCCGGTAGGCAAGTGGTTAAGTACCAGGTGTATGAAAGTTTTGGGGACTGACGGTACCAGGAATACTGGCCATACAAGTTAAGATACATACATGTCTGGTAGTACAACCTCCGTTTGGCTCTACCAATAACTATGTAGTGCAAGGCCCAACATAACTGAATTATTCTGAATAGGTAGACCCCCATACTACATAGTTTTGGTAAACTGTACAAGCAGACGGTACTGTGTATGGTCAGCTTAAAGGCTTAAATTTTTTTATTTTTTTTTTTTAAATAACAAACATGTCTATACTTATCTGCCGTGTGCAGTGGTTTTGCACAGAGCAGCCCGGATCCTCCTCTTCTCAGGTCCCCTGCCGGCGCTCCTGGCCCATCCCTCCTTTCGGGTGCCCCCACAGCAAGCAGCTTGCTATGGGGACACCCGAATATGTGCACTCCCCAGCCACTGCTCTGTGTGTCTGTTCACACACGGAGTTGTGGCTCGGCCCTGTCCCCTCTCTCTTCTCATTGGCTCACTGACTGTGATTGTCAGCAGTGGGAGCCAATGAGGAGAGGGAATCCTAGGATAGCTGAGACTCCTGTGCACATTGCTTGATCGAGAGGGGGCTTAGGTGAGTATTACGGGGGGGGAATGCTGCACACAGGAGGTTTTTTTACCTTCATGTATAGACTACATGAAGTTAAAACAAAACCTTTAAGCCTTTACAAACACTTTAAGTCTTCCTTGTATAGTGAAAATATTTGCTCGGCAACAGTTAAACCTATCGTAAAATTTACAGCAGTAGAGCAAAACTCTATTTTTAGGAATAAAAAAAACCCCACACACGCCCTTTTTTTTTTTTTTTTTTTTTTTTTTTTTTTTTTTTTCTTTCAAAAAAATATGTAAGGTTTTTGGGGTTCCCAAATTGTGCTTTTTACGTGTGCAAACAGTAGGAAAAAGGCAAAGGATTAGAGGGTGTACTCAACTGGTGTAACTTTTAAAGAATGTTTACCTGTTGCTAAGCAAATATTTTCCCTATACAAGGAAGACTTAAGCTGGCCATGCTCCTACCATCTGCTTGTACAATTTACCAAAACTATGTAGTATGAGGGTCTATCTATTCAGTATGTACCCAGTTATGTTGGATTTTGCACTACATATATTGGTAGATCCAAAGAAGGTTGTACAATCAGACTTTACCAAACCTATAGTGTTGAGGGGTAGCACATTCATTAAATCTGCCATTTTTACTGACTCTTGACTCAAGCTGTACACAATGTTAATGCTTATACATTCTTATTCTAGTGGAGAACTTAAACTGAACCCCAATTTACATATAGACTTCACAGGTACCTGTACAGTCTGAATGTAAATTGGGGTTCTACACCTTTTCTTGGTGTAGAACATGATGGTTCCAGACACAGTGCAGAGTTTGACATGGGAAGTCTTATTGTCAAAATTGTTACTAAAGCCTTGAGACTGAAAATCAGGAACAGCATAAAAGACTTTCTGGGTTTCTTGTACATATCAGCCATTTCTATGTCTGTCTTTTCTGTAAAGGATATAGAAAGCAAGTGAGAAAACAACACTCACCAGTATCAAGGTCACTATTGAGATCTGCAGTCCAATACACACAGCTTACTCCCCAGTATCCATGTCGCCCCTAAGATCTGCACTCTAGTACACGTTGCTTTCTGCATGGTATCCATATCACCAGTTAATTCTACATTCCAGCACTCACAGCTGACTCGTCAGTATCCATGCCACCAAGGAAAGACTCATACCTTTCTAATAAATGCTGCTTCTTGTCTCTCTAGGGGACACAGCTGTTTTCTCCACTTTTTTTCTGGCAGGGTACTCCATATATCTGGATCGCATAATTTAATAATGTGATTGCGTAATCGAATAGTCAATGTTGTTCATACAAGATCTTAAAGTCAGACTGTAAACATGCATGGCAAGTTGCCAGCTGTCACAGGTTAAAAAAAAAAAAAAACAAAACGTGGCTGTGCAGGGCTCTGCCCGCCTGTCTGGCTGCGTCACTCATTCACAGAATTCTGTGAATGGGAAAACTACAAGTCCGGACAACCTTTTGTTGTTGTCGGCTTGCAGCTCTCAATGAACTGTCTTGATGCTGTTGAGCGCTGTGGTATATCATTGATTCTTCCTGTCAGTGTGTATCTGCATGTCTGTACGAGGTATGAGCACACAAATACACTGACAGGTCTGCAGGAATCCTGGTCCAAAGCTTTACAGGCTCCAGGAATAAAAAATAGTAAATGCACATTTTTTTTTATCTGAAAAAAATTTGCATTTATTTTTTGTTAAAAGGTGAATTTATCCTTTTAACTTTCAGCACGCTTTTATTTATTATTTTTTTCTCTCCCAGTAAATTCTCTGTTTCTCAGCTCAGGTTAGGACAATGTTTGCAATTTGTTTATTATATTATATTTACTTAAATGATGGGATTTCTAAATTTGTGTGGTCTCCATTTCCTTAGGTGCTGCATGAAACATTTCCTCAGCACACGTTTCTAATGAATGGCCTCATTCAAGGAGTAAAGGTAATAAATATTCAGAATTTTGTATGTTTCAGCAGTCTGTATGAATGCTAAACTGTAAGCATAGACGAGCAAGAGTTGAGCTTCAGTTGTACGTGGGATTAAAGGAAACTAGGTCTCTCTCAGTAGATAACCAAAGGTGATTGAGTCTTTTATCACATGTAGTGGTTTGAATGTAAACGTTTGTGTGAGCATGTAACCATGAATACCCTTTATACTGAAGGTAGCGTTTGCTGACCATGTCTCCTAAGAGAATATGTAGCAAAGGAGCAGTTAAAAGTTTTTGGTTTGAAGTGATTCCAAGATAATACTGTCTAATCTTCATGCACCCTGTTAAAAGCCAATTCATATATGCTAAATGAGCATAGAGATATGGGTGCAGTGCATGTCTAGTGTTCCAACAATTTACTAAATATATGCCTGTAAGCAACACACCACACTGTAAAGAAAGATTAGGATAACTGCTTTCTTTTTTTACAATTACGTTTTTATTAGGAATTTGTACAAAATAATGATACAAAAATACAGGAGACACAAAGAAAATCAGTTTTACATAGGGAAAATTCCACCGTGTATCAAAAGATAGATGGACCAACAAATGATTATTGCAACCAGCAAAGAATGGGTAAATAGACTGTCCATGTATCATCCATCTGCATATTGCGGTCCCTACTGAACCACAGGTAACCAAAGAAGATATGTAGCCCAGGAACAAAACCAAGAAAACAAAACAAAAAAAAATGTTTGGCTAGTAAATTACTATTGAGAGGGTATTGCTGGAGATTATTGGTCTAGGAACGACAATCTAACATAGTTGTGGGGAGGATGCAATGCTACCATACAATAAAGCTGGAACAGGAGTGTGGGAATGCTTAAAGTCATAAGTATGAAGGTGGTATAGGTTATAAAGAGATGTTGAGGTAGGGACTAGCACCATTAGGTAATAATGGAAATGGAGGTTAGAGCAATTACAATATCTAGACAAAATGGGAATTCAGTCATCGGGGATCTCAAAAGAGAAATACACCCCAACCTGACCATATATCATGGAAGCAATCGAGTTGGTTCTTAACTGTATGCACCCAACGCTCTGCATCCCTGATTTTAGCCACCTCCCATTTACAAACCGCCAATGTAGGACAAATGGCTTATTTCCAATATCGGGGGATCAGGCTCTTGACTGCATTTAATAGGTAGGGAGTTAGTCTTTTGTACAACTTAAACTGATGACTGGGTATCATTAAAGAGAATCTGGATTGGAGTGCTCTGGATGGGTCTAAGGGTTGTTTTCTTTATCCAGGGGGTAATTGCCTCCCAGAAAGCCCGTATCTTAGGACAGAACTATCAAAGGTGAAAAAGGGAGCCCCGTTGGGGACATCCCCGCCAGCAACTAGAATCTGCACCTGGGAACATCTTAGTCAGGCGAGAGGGAATTCTGTACCACCTGGTTAAAAATTTATAGGCAGATTCCTGAATATAAGTAATAATGGAGGATACATAGGTCAGGCATATCATTTTCTAGATCTAGGAAGGAGAAAAAACTCAATCTCCATTTCCCACTCCCTATTATAGTATGGAGACACCCGAGATTGGGTCCCAAGAACTAGCCTGTGCATATGCAATAGTAGATGTCTAGAGTCTGAAGGGTTTATGCACCAGGTCTCAAATGGAGAAAGGGTATCCCATGAATGGAGTTTAGGCTGTAACTTGGAGAAGAAGTCAAGTAATTGCCGATATCTCCAGGAGTACATTGGAAAGTCCCTATAAGTAGATTGTAGTGTTGCTACCGATAACAACTTCCCTCCAGGTGCAAATTTAGCACATAACGTGTTTCTGTCCTCCCCAAGAAAAGGAAAAAAACGAACATCCTCCTCCCGGGAGAAACATGAGAAACCTCCCAGTGGTGTCAGAGGAGAAGTCTGGCTTGCAAACTCACCATCAGCATTCAGTTTGTCCCACACAGGAAGGGTGACTTGAGTCAACAGGGATGTCCAGCCAGAGAGCCCCATTCCCCCAGATGGTATTCACGGGGTCTCTGCTAAATTCCTGCCCGCCAAGGTCTTCTCTAAAGCTCCCAAAGTTTAGTAGAAATGTCATGATGCCAGTTCAATATCCCAACTAGAGCCATGGCCTTGTAATACATGGCTATCTCTGGTAGGCCCACTCCGCCATCCTGTTTGCATAAGATAGTATAAGTGAATCTTGGCCATTCCCCATGCCATACGAACATCAAAATGCCTGTTTTAGTCACCAGAAAAAACTTGGTAGAGAGATCGGAATAGTGTATAATAAGTATATGATACGAGGGAGGACAGTCATTTTGAGTATGTGTATTCATCCAAACCACGTTAAAGGGTAATTGTGCCAGGATTTCAAGTCCCCCAAAGTTTTGTCTAGTACTTTGCCTTATTTGTGGACCCATTTGTCATCTGACCTTCATTAAGGTGGAATCATTGCCTTATTTGTGGACCCGTTCATCATCTGACCTTAATTAAGGTAATGATTCCACCTTAATTAAGGTCAGATGACGAATGAGTCCACAAATAAGGCAATGATTCCACCTGCCGTTGGAACTAGGAGTGGCAGAATTAAGTAGCCATCTTTAATGGGATATGAATGGGCAGCAATTCTGACTTCTTATAATTCATTTTAAAGTTAGAAACACTGTTGAACCTACGTAGTTACTCCTTTAGCACTGGAGGTGAGTAACATAAAACAGGTCATCAGCATAAGCTTTAAGTTCATGTTCCACTGAGCCTATGGTGACCATATCGGCTGGGTCAAAGTGTTGTTTGTGTTTAATTTCAAGGGCATGTATTTTAACAAGTAGGTCTAAAACCTCCTATTGTTTTTCTTCACCCTAGCCCCTTGAGCGATCACTTCACCCCGAATCACTGCCTTGTCACCCTCCCAAAGTGTAGACACCTCCTCAGAAGAGTTTGTTTTAAAGTAATACAGCAAGGAACGGGAAACTGATTCCAGCATGGTAGGGTCATCCAAGAGAGTCTCATTAACTCTCCAAGTTCTCTCTCTCTCTGTTGAGTGTTGGGAGGGAAAAGGACAGCATCACAGGGGAGTGATCAGAGATGGTAATGGATTTAACTGAGGCAGAACTAACATTGCTCAGAACATAGTGATCTATAAAGATAAGATCAAGGCGAGAGTATGTCGTGTTTTAGAATAATAGCTGAAGTCCTTCAACCTGGCATATGTGGCCCTCCAACTATCAAAAAGATGTAACTCACGGAACAGTTTTTTTCAATATGTTTCAGGGCTCTGTGTGAGAGGGGGATTTTTCCCAAAGAGGAATCTAAGCTAGGGTCCAACGTCACATTAAAATTTATCCCCTAGCAACACCATGCATTTTCGGAAATCTAAACGTTGTTTCAGAGTGACAGATAAAAAATCAACTGTCTGTATATTCGGTGTATATATAGCATCAATGGTATACTTCTGACCATGAATGATTCCCTTGAGAAACAAAAACCTACCCTCAGGGTCCGATTTTACATACAACAGAAGAAACGGGCAAGTTTTTTGTATGGCAATAGAGACCCCTCTTGCTTTAGGGATGGGTGAAAAACTGTGGTACCATTGGTCAAACACCATCAAGGGTAGGCGAGGGGTGGATGAGGCAGTGAAATGCGTCTCCTGAATCAATAAAATATCAGGGGCCAGGTGGCGTACTTCCTGCCAGAGCTGACCCCTCTTCTGAGGCGAACAAAGCCCACTCACTTTATAGGACAGCAATTTTGGAAGCCATGGCAAAAGAATTGAAAATCAGAAAACTGCATATACCTGATGAGCATCCCACATAGAAAAACATGGATCATCCTCAGCTGGTGTGTGATACACTTCTTCGGCATATCCCACGGTAAAACCATATACTAAAAAAAATTGGCAAATTTTCGAACTCTTAAGTGGGAGAGGAATCAACTGGGAAAAACAGACCACCGCGAAAAGTATCACCCACACAGCTAAATAAGCAGAAAAAAATCCTCTGTGTGAGGACAAATCTTTTTGGGGGGAAAAGACGAAGCATGAGAGGAGAGTGGATCACTCAACCCCGGGCACAAATATAAACGGTAAATCCTATAAAGACAGCGTTATATGTGCGGTCCAATAGTAGCATAGCAAAGAAAAGAAATATCCCTGGAAGAGAGGAGAAGTATATCATCACAAAATTAAACATGTACCCTCTCATCGCCACTCCTATCGGGGAGAAGGTGGAGAGGTACCGTGCGACAGCCAAAACGTAAAGCAGCTAAATCCAGCAAAGTAAACCTAAATGTCATGAAGAATGTGAGCATCCATTAGGCTGCACAGTGAGAACCAACCCCAAAATGAAAAGAGAAAGTCAAGTAGAGGAGGGAGGGATGTCCCTGGGGCCCCTACAGCCATTGTGAATCCTATGAGAGCTGGAAGATGTTTGGCACTAGCGTTCAGGACACTGAGGTTGTGGAATGTTGCCCTGGAGCTACCAATCAGCAAAGTCCACCTCAGGGAGATCCAAAGTTTCACAGAAGTGCAGAAGTTCATCCTTTGTATGTAGAACAGCTGACTTGCCCTTGCGAGTGGCTGTGAGGCGAAAATGGAACTCCCATCGGTAGGTCGCCTGTGTAGATTGATGCTTATCAAGCAAGGGTCGTAGAGCTCGCCTTTGCTTTAATGTCCGTCTGGACAAATCAGGGATCAGATAAACTTTTGTGGCACCTAAATCCACATGTGGCTTGTTGCACACTGCCCTCATCTTCGCCTCTTTCTCTGTGTATTTGTGGAGTTTACAGATTACGTCCCTGGGCTTCTCGACATCTTTGGGAACTGGGAGAAGAGCACTGTGGACCCTATCAATTTCAATAGTGGCTGGTACGTCAGTTCTCAAGATCTGGAAAAACAACCCTTGGACAGTAGGCAATAAATCTGGAGAGCGTGTGACTTCGGGGAGCCCCCGGATACGGATATTTAGCCTTCGATCCGTTTTCATACTCATCAAGCTGATCCAA